GCCACTTAGCTGGAAGGGGTCGCGAACGTTTGGCTTATGAAACATCCATGAGGCTAGAGACGTGCAACGGCTGTTCTGACGCTGACGGACATCTTGATGGGTTTGAGGCAAATTCCAATTCCACTTTCATACGTCAGTCGAAAACGAAAGAAGTCTGCCCGTGGGCCGTCCATGGATATTGCAGAAATTACAAATTTTACACACAGAAACTGGGTTAGAACATCACTTCCTGTGGGAACTTCCGAACACTACAGAAACAATAAAGATAAACGTGAGAACTACTGGAGATGGGGACGTGATCTGACGTATCCTCAAATTTCTGACGTAATCTGCATTTGCTGTCTGTATCTGTTTCGTTAATGACCATCTCCGGAGGAACACATTGCATTTTTATAGAGTTCGGTTGTAAACTTACATCAGACATTAATAACTCGGGATCACTAAGGCTGGAAATGTGTCTAATAGGAAAGTAGGTTTGAGTCACAATACTTCCTTCATCTCTTCAATTCTTCGAGAGGAAAGTTAAAATGCGTGCGTAAAGACCATAAATGAAAAATTATATCATTAGGTCACTAAATGGGGAAGATATCTCCCATGTTTGTTGTCGTATTCCATTTTACGTGGCAGTTCTTGAAGCCATTTCGAATAAGGAAGATGGAACTTTAATTCCTTATAGATACCACTCCAATACGCCGTAAAATAGACAGATAGACGGCTGTCATTTCATCGAGCTTCTGTTTTAGCGTCTTGAGGATGAAATTACACTACTTTTTTTTTGCGAGCTTTCTTTTTTGTTCGATGTTCCGTAAAAACTCGTGTGTTTTAGTGGAAAGAAGGTAACACTTCATGTGATGGTTGGAGGAAATACAATTTAAGGGCAATTCTATAACCTTCACACGCACGAGAATAACATATTTTTCACGTCATGTAATGACGCAACATATTCTCTCTCTAAAAAGCAGTGAACACGTCTTTCGCACACAGAACACATCGAAGCCAAAGGGAAAATATCACAGACTCAAGCGCACTCATAAAATAAATAATAATAACAAATAAGTACGTTAAGTAAGATATTGTATGTGCGTCATATTGTGATTTATTTAAATAGTATTACAAATATATTAATATATGAAGGACGTGAACATGATAAGAAAAATGAAAACTAAAAATCTTAAAAATCAGTAAAAATCAGTAATTCAGTTAAAACGTTTATAACATAACACCTGATGATGGCTATATATAGCCGAAACATGTCGTAAAATGTTCCACATGTAAATCCAGTACTCGATACGGAACGTAAAATGATATTTTAATCTTTTAATTATCTTATATTGTGATTGACGGCCAATTTTAATATATTTGTAATACGTTAAGTAAATTAATCAATTAATAAAGTATATAGGCAACTTCATCACAATTACTTTATCATTTTCGGCGCGGCGTGGAGGAAACCTACAGAAGGGCTCGCAATGCCTGCCTGATGAGTTTCGCCTGCCTGTAGATTACACGCTTCACAACGTAGTAGGAGAAGTTGCCGACGCCGCGCGGCGTACTGTGGTGATTACCTCGTGCCTTGTCATAGCAAACGGATGCCACAAATGGAGAGAAGTATAATCACAAGCATTTGAGATATCGCAGACGCATTCTTTGTTTTCACACTTACGAACTTGTCTGTGCAAACTAAAGACAGAATTCAACTGCTCATTTAGTTCTAAACAGGGAAACATTACGAATAAATCATAAATAAAATGAAGTAAATGGAAAATGCTCCTTTATCAACTTACAGGCTTCAAATATTTTACGTTAGATTGCGTGAAAGGATGATTATATATCCTGAATCGGTAAGGATTGGGTTATTATTATTATTTTTTTTATTATTTAGTGTTCTGTCTGACGACAGGTCCATATGAACAGGATCCTTCCATCCTTTTCTCGGACTGGGACCTGTTCATATACGTTCTTGGCAGATGATCCAGAAGTGGTTTGCCATTGCCTTCTTCTGTGTGTATGGAGTAATGAGTAATTGTTGGGATGCCACGGAGAAAACTCAGTGTTGCCTAGACCACGGCCTTGCCCAACAAAAAATAATGTTATTAAGACGGCTATAATTAGCGTCTCAAATATACAACTCTTAAATAAGGTACCATTACCTATCGTCACTTCAGGTACAAGAATTTGCAACATGGAACATAGGAGTAGAAAATGTTTGTTACATTCAGTGGGGAAGGATCTCACCAGATACAGTAGGATGGTTCCCAGTGTGTTGAATAACGAGCCATGGAATAGCACAGGAACTTGTTTCTGGTAGTCGAAACACCTGGAAAGTGATCTGTCTGGTAGATACGTTGTGGAGGTTCCAAGTCTGAGAGTACAGGGCTGTATCACCACGGCAGAATCATCAGACGCAAGCAGATGAGGCAGTCTTGCATTCGCGAGTGGCTTGACTGACAACCAAGGAGATGTTCGTAGCATCATTCTTTCTCTACAGCGAATTGGTGATGTTGGATTGGGTAGAACGCGATACAATTCCATTGCTAGGAGATAACCTAGGTCTCACTGGAATTGACTGAGTAAAATCACAAAAACCAAACTCATAATAACCGGTGTCCTACCCAAGATCTGAATCGGCTGTATCTGAACATAAGTCAGGCGGGTAACAAGTTACCACAGCAGCCTACTTGAGATGGTACCGCGAAGCAGAGGGAAAGTCTGGGCGACTAAGGGCTTTATTGGTCTGAGGCAAATTACGAGTTATCGTACACCAAGCCTTGCGTGCGTAGCAATGTGGGGGTAATGTCGTAGTTGGCACCCTTCGGATACCAATCGACATGCCACTGAATACAGCCCTCCGTTCCACGTGATGGGCGTGGCAGCATTTCCCTAGCTACTTATGGGACACCCTATAAATAAAAATGCCATGAAAATGTCGGTACAGTGATCCATAGGACTCCCATTAATTGTCTAGCTCCACTGCAGTTGGACGAGTCGTGTCAAGGAATATTATTAAACGGGGTTATGCATCTCTCACGTGTATCTGTACGTGGTCAGATGGAAGGACAGCTTTTGTGGGTCCTCGAGGCATCGAGAGCAGCATCGAAGCGAAGATTGTCTGGGAACGTTGTGCCTTGCCTAAACTGAACAATGTCTACTTCTCTGGATTCCTGGTCAGAGCGGGATTCAGGGTAACTAGCAATTCCAATCTTTTCCATGCGTTGATAAGATCAAAGCTTCAGAGTGTCTGATGGAGAGGCATTCCGAATACTGGGACGCCACAGCAGGTAGGAGGCAGTCGAAGCTCTTTGTCTCAGGCCTTGTGACAAACTACATCCCTGTTGATTTTGGACAGGTAATAATGCAGGCCAGTGAAAGGGTTGTTAACTGGCTACTGGTTGGTCTCTCGGAAAGCATCAAATTTAGGAAATGAGTACAGGAGGAGGAATATTCCTACTGTTCTTTGTCAAAGCCCAATGTTGACTGGGCACAGATTAAGGATCTTCGATTGTGCATCGGTAGAACCGACAGATATTTTACGGGCTTCAATTACGACGAATCTGGTTCTAGCACTGTGGTCAGGGCGCTTTGAAGGGTCCTAACAAGGTCCGGAATGCACAATGACCGAAGCTGCCTTCCCTTGATCAATACCGATGTTAACAGTCAGGCGCCTACCGCAACACGAATCTGGTGTTGCTATGGCTTTACGGTAAGTAGACGAGAAAAGAAAGACCTTAGTGTAATTAGGATTTTCTGCCAAAATTACAGCAATACAAATATAAAACTCGGAGTGGTTCTGGGCCATATTTATTACAGAATTAACTGCATGGTGCAGTCTCTAGAACAATGGTTTACAGTCACTGCGTTGAATGTGCTTACTGACTCGAACGAATCCTACCCTTTTCCTTGATTTTAGTACGCGAAATACTGAAATCATTTTATGAACAGAATTATAAGAATTTTCTGAATATCGTACAAAAGATGCATGTGGGTAGAATGAAAACTCAGCCAGCAGCTAACTGCACAAGCCCTATTCTACAAATATACTACATTGATTGACGTGTAATTGATTTGTTTAATCAATTTATTCATGTATAAATAAACTGTAAACTAAAAATGAAGACAAAGCTAATCTTCTGCCTCCATAAAGACTTATGATAGAAAAAGATAAATCAACATATCTCTAAAATCGGGACGAGACGCAGATGTGCAGTCAGCTTCAAGTTCCAACAACTTTACATCTCGGACAATGAAGGAGAATCTGTAAGAACCCCACAACTGACCTGTGCTTCGTAGATAAGGTAATAATCATTATCCTTGATCAATCAGCAGCCAATTACATTACTGGTTGTGCTGTTCCGGCTATATTTCTGATAACAAATGTTTTATTTTCTCTGTGTTTATAAGCCTCTACCCTCCAATTCTCGGTAAGTGCGAAGCCTTTTAGAGAGGTGTGAGTAAAGACCCCTTAAAAACGATGTTATACGAGAAACTTTGAAGATGTGTAAAATATATCTCAAAATATCACCCTATGATTCGTTTGGAAGTTTATACAGCCTTTTGTTTACAATGAGAAATGTGGGCTATTATTCAGAATTTGTACAGTGGTACATTTTAAATTTACATTAATTACTTTGTCGAGCCTACAAATATTTAAGGTAACTTCAAATGCAGTATACACGTGTCATAAGAATCATAATGTTACCAAGATTTCTGATATATAAGAATAATTTTGATGACTGCTTGCAAGTGAAGGGAAGTCGTAGCAAATTCAGATTATTAATTTAAAGATATAAATTTCTTTAAAACAATAAACTGATTCTTGGACAAGCACCCGTTCCACATGCTAGAAAAATTAATTAATATATCTTAACGTTACCTGATGGACTTTCCCTGAATGAATTCAAATGTGATCAACATAAGAAGGTCCAACAGTTAGAGTCATGCACTATTAGGCCCTATTACTGCCTTACACTATTGTATTTCTCTGACGTGACGTCAGAACTTACCAGTAGGGTACACGAGAATTGTGGGCCTCTTGTTTTGTGGCGCAGCGGACGGTGAGAGGGGTGTTACCCCAGTCTCACCCTTGCTCGCCATGCCCCTTACCGCATGTGACGTCACAATCCCATTGCAAGCCCGCAAAACATCTGAAACAAAGAAACGGCGCACTGGCTGTAGCAGCTGACTCTTTGGTACTCCACATTTTTACACGTTTATCCATACCTCGTTACGGCTTCGTTTGTACAACAGGACGGAAAGGAGGTATTTACCGACAAAATAACATTCATCTCGGCTGTATTCGCTCCATTGTACATTCGTACACTGCTCATGCTATGCGTAAGACGGAGAGGTAGGGCTGGGCATGCGCAGAGCGTCCCGTACTAACCCTTCTCCCGCCCAAGTCAAACAGCGCGGATAACATGTACGAGGTGCGATCGGAAAGTTTCAAGACTGCGCCTATAAACACCCGTACACTTATATCAGGTATTAAATTCATCCATCACCCTCGAAGTAGTTCCCCTGGGAGTGAACACAACGATCCCAGCGCCGCTGCCAAGCCTGGAAGCATCCCTGGAAATCTTTCTTTGCCAGCCTGTCAAGCACCATCTGCGATTCTGCCTGAATCTCTTCTATCGTCTCAAATCTCCTTCCCTTTAGCTGAATTGTCATCTTTGGGAAGAGGAAGAAGGCACACGGAGCT